GCAAGCTTTCCTTCGACGGCTTCGTGTAGGTAGAATGATCACGAAGATTTTTAGTGCGACAGAGAGATGAGTTAAAGAGAGATAGAATTAGTCACCTGTTGGTTACCGGACAATTTTCGGATGCACGGATAAGCTGACCCTCGGAACGAAGATCGTCGTCGCTGTAGTAAATGTAATGGCTCAAGTGAAATCGTGACTCCTGTTGTGATATCATACACGACACCTCCCATGCCTTTCACCTCCCCCGGCATCTTCGCGGAACTAATATGATCATTGTTGTTATTGCTACTGCTTGAATCTTATAATGGGCTGGTTACAAGGGATCGAAAGCTCAAACAGAAAAGATGGAAAATAGAATTCTACATCTTTTCGGATGTTTTTGCGTTAAGGCCGAGTACCTGTCGCCTTCGCTGGTCATTCGAGTGGTCCAGCAGGCCAGCTGGCTTGACTGCTAATTACGAGTGGCTTCAGGCTTTTGACCTGGACGCATTAGAACTCGTATGAATAACGTAAGCACTTTGAAACGGTGCCATCATCACCAATAACTAGAAAGGTGGGGTCGCGTCGGGAGGTGAAGCACAATAAGCAACGGAGCGCAGACTATAGGTACAGCTGTGTACAGCTATAAGGACCGTGCTAATGTTTGTCATAGATAGAATCTGTCAAATGCCGATTCAATTTCATCCAAACAGTAGTCTGCCGTCCTTGTCTTGCGCCGTCTCTCTCCGTCCCTATCGTAGGCACCCTGCCGCTATCTGTTCGAGCAAATGGAACATCCATTCCCAGAGACGCCGCGAATACAAATTAGCGTTTCGCAACGACGGACAGCGCAGACATGTCAAACTGGGCGGCAGCAGCGACACCTGTTGTTGTCCGCAGAGCTACAGCCATTGTCGCTGCACTGTTATTTTTGTTGCTGTTGCTGTCGCGGAAGCTGCTCGCCTACGACGTAATAGGCGTCGTCATTGTAACAGAAGTCCGACAGCTGTACGTTAAATTTCGCGCCGTGCTTCAATGCCGGCAGTTGGCGTAGTCAGACCAGTTGTTGTTTTTGACTGAGCAGCATTGGCCAGGTAGGGCGTTAGCAGATTTAACGACGATGGTAGCGGACGCCATGTGCTCGATAAACAGCTAGCTTCACAATTCTTCAATTTCTGTTCTCTGAGTTCTGTCGGCCCTTTGTACCAATTTACCGGAATCAAGCGCATTCGATATTCCCATTTAGCATTTGTCGGTACGACGACTCAACCGATACAGATGCGGCAAAGCTGCTGGGAGCATGAACAGGTTACAGACAACAGCACGATTCATATAGCAAGGCTTGATGGCCGTACTGGGTCGGTGGGCCGTGATAGGTCCGTGCTGTCCTTCCAACGCCCAAAGCCCGGCGTCCGGCGTCCAGCGTCCAGTCGTAATAAAGTGGTCGTGATAGTAGTAGTACAAATGGTCGCAGAAGCATTATCAACACTCACCAGCTGTAGCTGCAGCAGCCGATAAAGAACTAAAAATCAGTTATAGTATAATAAAATATTGCATCCATACGTGAAGAGTGGTCGCCTGACGAGACCAGCCACATTTCAACGGTTATCCCAATAATATTTCGTTCGTGAAAAAGAGGTAAACAAAGTGTACGGAAAGCATAGAGGGTTGAAATCGTACTGCAACAAATCGGCGCCAGCAGTAGACGGATATGACGTCGGCAGGGACGCTGCTTCTGTCGACAGCGCTCTTTGTCTTGGCTATATTGGACTGCGACTTTGGGTAAGCGCTTCCGCAATTTTTCACCCCCGTAAACTATAACTCGAGACAACATCGAATATTTATCTCTATGAGGAAGATGCGCGGCCGCTCCTACTTAGACATTAGGAGATTTTGGATACACAAATACTTAACGCATGCTATCGGTAAATATAAAATAATCTCGCATCGCAGTCAGCTTCGCAGTTGCCTCTGACGATAAGTCGATGTTCATTCGTAGGAAAAACATAAACGACACAGAATGATCTTATGTAAAGATCATCATCAGGGACAAAAGGTACTGGCGCGCATGTACGCGCCCAGCGCAAGGACCGGCCTACCAGTTCTGATGTGTGCTTATAACACGGATGGTTCTCGAAAAAGCTTAGAACGTCGAAACGGGACCTCAAGTGAGGACGACTCTACAAGCCATCCAGTGTTGAAGGGTCCGTCCGCCCGTCTGTCTTTGATTAACGAAGCACAATCAAAAAAATTTAAACGGATATTTTTGCCATGTTTATAACATCATCGGCGCTTACATACAGTTTTACGTTCTTCGGTGTTTGCCGTTACATATCCAGTTTAGTACTATAAGACCTTTTGCGCGAGCAAAGAGTATTTGAAGCGTACGGTCGTTAGAATTAGCCGATTGCATTTAATGAATAACGGATAGACAACGAGTTACGAATTATCGTTTGATGACAAAGGATAGCTGGCATTTAGCGATCTGTTAAGGCTCCGGGTACTTGTGCCACATCGCGGTTTTTTTAAAGCGGCTTTACTTCAGCACTTTTCGATCGAAGTGGAAAAGAAAATTAGTCGCAAAGTGAGCTAACCAAGCGCTGTTTCAATTATCTTAAATTATCCATCTGAAAAATAGCCCTATAGCAGCTTAACAGAGGGTTTTAGGGACTATTATCGTTCGGTCTTAATTTAACACTGACGCAGATCTGGACATAAAACATCAAACGTTCCTAAGAGGTCAAATGGGCTGTGTTTCTAATGAAAGCAATGATTCGGACGGAGGCAGAGTTGACAAAGGCTCAAAGTCAGCTTCCGATCATTTTGACAATTTCATAAGGAAAAAAAAAGTATTAGAGAGAGTGAATTTTGTTTAGATAAGCTTTGCGATATAGTACTAATTCAAATAACTAAAAATGAATGTGATCCATAATCATATCAGGTCACTAAACAGCGAGTTCCGTCTTACTTCGTCAAAAAAACAGGTCTATGAGGTCTAATTGAGTCTATTTAAGGTTATCTCGGTTATCGATCAGTGCATCTGGTCATTGTTGTTACTCGGTAACCTAACGAGACAAAGTGCCAGAAAGGAAAAGGTGGAAACGTGCACGAGTTTGCCCAAGACGGGGCATTCTGCAAATTTCAACTTCTAGCCATCTACATAACCAGCTATAACGTCCAATTGTTCTCTCGGAACGTGCCTATTTCAATGGGTGTGTGTTCTATATTGTGAAGCGCTTCTCGCGCATTGCAATGGGCACTTGGTATTTTTACGGGCGTTCAAAGGGGGCGAACACAGTGCGTCAAAGCTATCAGTTATTACTGAGAAATTGTTGCTAGCAAAACGGAAAGCGAAATATACTCATTAGCAATGCAAGCACCTTAATTTCATTAGTGCCTGAGCAGCTGCGAAGGGGTTGATAAGAAGGAATAACAACAATGCAGACGACTATGGAGGTATGGGAGCAATAATTTGCCTAAGACTGCTCATCCAAATCCGCATCTCACCAACCGCAGAAATAGAAACATCTGCCGTACGAAAAAAAGTTACGCATCTGATTATGTCCAATGTAAATGTGTAGATCGTAGATAAAAATCTTAATGCGAAAATAACGATTATATTACCAATGGTTTTCTTAGTTATGCCCGAGGGTGCATACGTGTAGACTATATACATATAGCTCAGTCAAAGGTAGAGTAAACAAAGCTTGCTATAGACGGGGTCGGGTGTAGAAATTGCAGAGGTAGTGCGAAGACTGTACACCATACTCAAACATCTGGTGACCGAAACGTATAAAAGACTTGCAAGCGACAAATATCGCCGAAAAGTTACAACAGACCCCCTAAACGTTTGCCTTGGATATATCGCCCTACAGGCGACAACAGTGGTCATCTAGAGTGGTACTCCATTTTTCGGCTGAAACACAGTAGCTATATTGAGTACTCGTTCTCGGCAAAAATTACACGAAGGGCTTCCTTGTCCGTGTTTAAGGAAACATCTTTTGACTTTTGTCGGTTGCACGAGCGCTCGGTTAAATCCCAACAATTACACTGCGACTTAAAATTATATGATAATATATAAGAACGTTTTATTAGAAAGCTTTAACTTTATATGAACCGCACCGTTTCTACGATGTTGCTGCTGACTGAGTTGTTAGAAGCTGCCACGAACGGTTAATCTTTAGTGGCAACGTATGCACAAAGACGGGTTACCGCCCGTCGGTTGGAGAGATCGGTGGCAGCCAGCTCGAAAGCCATCGGTTGTCGTAAAGCTACTTGAAGCCCAGTTTGCTACCCTTTCTGGAACGTTCAACGCTCGTTAACGTCAGTAACAATCCCCAACAACGGCGTAAACTAGAATTCGATGACTCAGTCTATTCCGGACTATTGAACACTTTACACCTAAAATTCGTTGGCCTTAGTGTACCGTGAGCGTTACCATTGGATAGATACGGTAGACTGTCAAGCCAGCCCATAGCGGCCCCGGAACAACGGGCACAAAGTGTGCTTACGAAATGTCTTAAATCCGTTGAAATTTTAAAGATACAGGAATTCGATTGGTCTAGGTATTTATTATTTCGCTTGTCATGACTGTCATTTTTGTCGGCTTCGTTGGGCAATCGTTGGATAGAGTGGGGTGATGGCGTTCGATGCGGTATGTGCAGTCTTCCAGTCAATAGCTGTTGAAGGCGGCACCGACTGAAAAGCAATGCTTTGATGACTTTCTCAGATTAGGCTAAACAATTTCGGCGGACGTTATTTGGGATTTCGCACACGCCTTCACAGACGGCGTATGCACTAAAATAGAATAACGTCAGCATAAGCCTAAGAGACGCCCGTAGCGCGGTCCCAAGCAAGTTTATGTTTACGTATATATATCGTGACTGAAACTTCTTTGTCTTGAAGGATTCGACATTTCATTATAGGGTTTTCGGAAAATTATTGATAATCATCGAGGGCGTCACACAGGTCAAAATGGATACTAACTGTAGGATGCTTTTGTTATCTGTACTTCATTCCAGATGAGGCTGTTAGGGTTTATAGCCCTAACGGTGGCTCTCGCAGGAACAACGCAAGCTCAAAGTAAGTATTTAGCGAATGAGTTGAGTATTTACAGCTCAAAGGTGTCTCTGTTTCTAGTAAATAGTCAGCTGCTGCTAAACCCGTCGCGAGAACTCGCTTCGTAGCTTACCATTGGCCTAGTACACATCTTCTATGATGCACGAGGAACTATGTATGCCAAAGAGCTAGCATAGGAAAGGGTTCCGGATTCGTAAACCATTGCTTTCACTAAACTGTTTAGACAGACTCGAACTTTCAGACTCGAGCATACGTTTATCCTCTTCATAGTCACGAACGTCCATAACACCTATAAAAGTAGCGTCTACTTAGGTAAACCGCAAATCGCGATACAGAGCAGCTACGCCAGCGCAGTGTATTAAATTGGACGTTGTGATCACCCAACTTGTTGTTGTTGTTACTATGTGCTATTATTCTTGTCCGGTGAAGCTTTGTGTTGTCATTCGACAATTGATTTCTGTGTTACCCTACAATGGCACACGAGCATATCAAACTGCGAAATGCTATGGGAAACGGGGAGCTGGATACTGTGTGAATAATTGTGCTAGAAGGGCAAAACGTATGTTGAGGCGAAGAATCATCTGCTACCATGGTGCTTTAAGCAGACATCGTCTAGCATGAGTTGTAAGAGCTGTGTAATTCCCGTGCGCGGTCGTCTAATAATTCTTAATAAGAGACAACTTGGGTCGTCTTAATTCAATCCGCCTCCTGGATGGTCTTGCCCACCGCGAAAATGGCTACTAAGTTACGATCGTTTACTTACGGGTCGATGGAACCGCCCGGCGCGATAGTCTGTGGCTGACGGCCGTCGCTAGACGCTGTGTGTTGTCGTGACTTACGTTTAGCTGAAACGAAAAGCCCAGTCGACTATTGAGGGCAATGTGTAATAACGTAAAATCTACTTATTTGATTTAAGAGCGATTTTCTCATTTCGGGATGAAGCACGCTTGGGGAAGGTGGGACTAGCTAACGTCAGTGCAATCAGCTGCTTAATTTTGGTCTGTTTCTCTTCGAAACGCTTCGTGGTTTACGCTAATCATATTTTAGCAGGGGATGCAATTCGGGACTGTGCGACTACGAAGCACTAGGCGTAAATGTCGGCTTTAGTGACAGAAAAAAATCAAATTTAGTCTAGTCTCTTTGAAGCCTATTATGCATTAACTATATGGTGATTTCGTGGTCTGACGCAAACGCGTATGTAGGTATATTTTTTTAGCGGAGCCAAGCAGTCCTAGTGCTGGGCACTAGAAAAGTCGTTCTGATAGCGTTGTTCAAACTATGGAAGGCCATAGAGTGTCTCGTCAGCTTTCGGACTATTCTGATGAAGTTTTCGCTATGTCGTATTGCTCGAGTTTCGACAAGGCTGCCCGTGCTTCTACCACATGATTTTCGGCAACGGGTAGTTTTGTATTTGTTGAATTGTCTATTACGTAAAATGCAGCAAAACATATTGCGTCATGCTCTGATCGGGTTGGGACGAAGACAAAACTACAACAGATCAAGATCGTGCATAAGACGCTATTGAAACAGAAAACCTAAGTAGAAAACATGATATTTTCGATAGATATAAGCATGAGGTACATTTAAAATGGGAACGTTATTTAACGTTTTTAATTGTCTTTTAGAAAATAGATGAATCGTGTGCTGTCATTACTCTTGCATCGTTTTGCGACTCCATAAAATCGTCTGTTCAACGATAACAAGAGGAGTAACAAATCATCCCGCAATTCAACGTTTTACGTTTTGGATATATGGAACGAATCCTACTTTGACTTGTTAGGCCAAGCGCAGGCAATTAGAGGCCGTTTGCTAAACTATACATAGTTTGTTTTTTTTATATATAGTTAAGGCTATGGGTGTTGTGGCATCGCATGAACGGTCTGACTTCATAGAGACAAATGGAGTGCATTGATTTTGTAGCCATTCCCATAACTCACTGTCCGTCTATTATACTCAACGTTTCAAGGTCCATCTATTTATTAGACGCAGTTTCACCAATTATAAATATTGGCTATTGCAAGCTTGTTTCACACTAGCTTAGTACGCAGCCTTAGCTTCCGTTCGATACAGCCCTCATATAGCCTTTGTTGTTGCTACTGGATTATAGGCGTTTATAGAACCCGATTTGGTGTCGTATTGTCGTAAACCATAAAACATAAACGAACACCGAAGGAAATTGGGGGATTGGCTGTAGACATCTGGTCATCGTGAGTAATGCCATGACCATCGATGCGGCCAGCATCTCTGGTGGCTCTTTTTTGTTTGTTTTTTTTTTATCAGTGACTTACTACAGAAAACGAATGACTATTTGCAGTAATAGCCGCTTCTAGAAATGGTACCTAGTGCATCAGGATGCCCTGATATATCCCTGCAGTGGATGTGCTCGGAACACAATAGGATCGCTTTGCTTGCGATACGAAACACACTCGTAATCTGCCGTGATTTACGTATTGCTTTCCATACTGCAGATGATCGTGCCTGATGATTTACTTGGCAAGGCCATGCGTCCTGTTTAATAAGGCTGTTCAGTCTGATCACTGGTTTGAAATGATCCGTTCGTTGCGCAAGATTCAGACGGAAGTATATTATGCGATATATGAGAAAGTGTAATTCCGATAAGAAGACTACCAGGCGCTGTCTCTGGCGTGTTCTACGCAAGTGACCGCCGTATACACGACTGAACTTGCGAGTGTTAGCAGAGTATAAAAGTATTTACGTTAAATATGGTACAATTTAGTTGTAAGAGAATAGAAGATTTTAAGTTAGTTTGCTTATTTCCGCCTAATTCAACGGCCCATTGAATTACTCAGTTGGCCGCTACAAATGGATACACATATCCGACTTAAATATTTTAGATGTAATTTGATTAATTACTACGTTTATTAAGGACGTAATATTTAAATAAAGCAACACTTAAATAACGGGCCGTGACAAAGAAGGTAGCCACCTCTGTTAGTCTCTAGTAAACACTGAGAATTTCAATTGCCATTCGTTTTGACTGATGTTAAAATAGTCTCCTGCTGTCAAAAATCGTTAATATAGCGAGTCAGATCTGGGTTGGCTCGAGCAGTCCAGCAACCTATCTCCCGTACACCCGTCTAACTGACATTCCTCATCGACGTCCACCAACATTATCACGCCAATATTTTTCACCATATCTAGCGTCGAAATCAAGCTGGTATACCACACAACAAAAAAATCGCTTCGAAACCAAGAAGAGGAGAAAAAGCCAATGAACACGTAACCACGGCATACGCCTATATAGCGCTGTTCCGCCGCAGAGCAAAGTATGACCAATTCGTGTCTATTTGCGTCAATTCCATTGGAAATAAGGTATCATATATATAAAAATAACTGTACACGTAATCGTACTACTCATCGCAGAGACACTGGGACAGTTTGTTGTTTTACGTCCTAACGACCGTTGTCGACATCATCTGTTCAACCCGGAATTCGCGGAACAGCAACAAAATTTCAACATTCGATGCCCTATTGAAATTTTGCACTCCGCTTCGCCGTCCCTATAGACGTCATCGCTATCGCCAGTCGCTATAGCGACAATAACAGTGCCTAAAAGGGCAACCGTAGAAATGGCCTCATCGAACGCGAACCGTACTGCAACTAGCGGATTCTACGGCACCGGAGAATTCAATGGTGACAACGGGTTTTTCTCTGTTGCAGCGCGTCATAGTGAAGCAGATGAATTTCTATTGGACGCACGATTTGTCCAAAAAGTCAGTAGACGCCTCATTGCCTTCTCGTGTCTGGCCTCCGGGGTAGATATTCGTCTGGTTCGACGCTACGATTTAATGCGAGGCGCTATCGGCAGCCGCGTCGTCGGCTCAGCAAACGCTGGTGCTGCCGCCATTAGCGACACTATCGCGTCTCCCCAGTACCTGATAACAAAAGCGGACAAGCCCTGAAATCGATGCCCGGTACCGCGGTAACAATAATCAGTCGAACAGCGACACGGCTATATTAACGTAGATATCGTTGTTAACTGTACCACAAGCGTTAACAAGTTCTCGTCAGCTCAATATTAAATTGTACCTTTTCCGCTGAACCGTTTGACGATTAGTCGCTTACCTCTAAGGAAGATTCTACCCTAACCGCATTCCCTGCAGCATAAGAACTACAGAAAATAAAGTGTGTTCACTAAATTGGCAGCGTCGATCTCATCGTATCAATAATAAAGCTGATTTAAGCCTCAGCAACATTCGGTGTGGCAATTGCGATCGCTTCGTACACAGGCTTTTTACATGTGTACGACACGATGCGCCATGTAACAGAGATGGATGCCAGTTGCGTCGAGGTGGGGGCATCTGCAATCGACAGCAGCGACGAAAAGAGGCCAAATGACTTTAATAATTGAGAGAAATAAAGAGCGCGGCTTAACTACGTTCGTTGGATAGCGTAATGAAAGCGAGAGCTTCGTAGATAACACGACTAACTAGCAGACAATGCGTGGCCAGCCACCGCATCGACAACGGTTGACGGTTAAAGCCCGTCTATAACATATACGACACCCATAAAAGTTGCGAAATTGATGCTACAAAGCCATGTACGATAGTGTACATAGGAGAAGAAATTGATATAAATGATTTCAGAACAATGGCTCTATGGCATACCATACATAATGTATTGCCTTAGTGACGATCATTGTCGTCCCTGCTTGTGTACACTGGATGCAGGGGCTAGAACAACAGCGTTTGGATGCTGACTAGATCCGGACCTTGACAAGGCTAAGCCGTGCAGCTGCTATGGCTGAATAAGAAAGACCGATAAGCGTAGAAGAGACATAACTTAAACCCAATGCCCACGCTTCCGTGGGTAGATTTTCGTCCTGCTGCGCACAGCAGCTAGCTATCGTAATCGTTTAACATTGGTGACGAACGCGATGTGATGCACGTACGCCCGCTGATGGCTTTGACATGGCTGAGAAATGCTAAGAACAGCCTCTTCGTTACCAGTATACAGGGAATGCGGGTTCGGGCACTCCAGTACGTGTGAGCCAGCGTTCAACAGATAAGACAATAGTACAGCAGATGATATCACTAGATAGTGCTACTGTCCAGGATGGTCCCACAACTGAATTTGTTCAAGTAGAACTAGGCCCTATTCGTTATCGTCTACGTTAATTCTAGTTTTTCTAGAGCTAAGTTGACATACTTGAAAAATTTTCGATCAGGTCATGGCGGTTGTCTTTCAAAATAGTTACTGAGCAAAGGTGATTTAGGAAACAATTAGGGCACAGATTCGTGTCCGCGCGATAGTGCTTGTTACCTGATTACTATAGCTTCACTTAAAGTAGATGAGTGTGTATATTTCAGTTGAAATCATTTCTGTCTTTGCCATAAGGTATGCGATCCTCTGACCCTCGAAAGCATACTTTTACAGGTATGATATTACCGTATGTTCTGGCTTGTATCTGCGAACAGGTGTTAGGGATTATATGCGCGTATTTCGTAAATTTTTCGTTGAAACTGTTATTTATAAAAAAAAAAAAAAAAAAAACACATGGTGTTGAACAAGGCATGGACGAAAGTGAATATCACACTAGAATTATGAAGCAGGTCCCAGACATTGTACCATATATATATGGGCGATGTAAAAATTTAGACGTTTATTTGATACTTATGTTAATTTTGTTGACGTTCTGCATACTATTACAGATTACTAATCCTCTATATTTTAGCTGCTTGAAAAGATATTAAAGTCGGCCCGTTTCTGCTAATCGGGAGAGGAAAGAGCGTGCTTAGATATATGGTTTGAGTTTAATGTCGATGAAAATCTACGCTTTCATCTAAGAGTTAAGAGGTTTCGTATTGGGCACCGGGAACATTTGAATCATACGTGCCCAAGAACTTCCATACAGTGTGTAAAACATAGCTGAAGAACATTATGGTATTACACGCATTCTGGTAGAGTTAAATGTGAAAGAAAAATTACTTAAATCCAGAATTTTTAATGGCTAAGTGCATCTATTATGTAGTATGAATACTAAAGTCCAAAATGATACCCTTTCTAATTTAACTACGGAAATTGTTTAGATTTCGAACATTGAGGAACCGAGATAATCGTATCCTTTTACTTCTGCTATTGACATCCTCAGATCTAGGTGTCGGCAGAAACTGTTGCCGTTCCATAGAGAGAGAGAGAGAGAGAGAGAGAGGAAATGAAGCACGTTACATCTATAGCAGAATAGAAAGCATCGCGGAAACATGATGGGCATGCGCCATGTTCACTGAAGTCATTATTAAGTTCAACGTACAATGACCTGCTTTCTAACTAGCTACATATCGAGAATGCTGAACTTGACGTATCTATTGTCTGGAACAGTCTACTCTAGGAAGGAATCAAAGTAAAAACGGTATAATTGTTCTCTATTTGCTACCTGTATCGTTACGTACTTGCAATTGTCACCTGTGTTATCTGTCATCTGGTGCTTGATTCGGAGTCATGATTGAATCACTCGGCAGGACATGGAGTCTGAAATCTTTTCAAGTGTCTAGCCCGACGTAAGCTATGACGACCTGATCAAATGTGGCGGCTGTATCTATTTACAATTGTAATATTTCAATACTTTAAACGACGGCCGTTCCGTTCATCGTTTCACCATGGTTACTTTGTTATTTTTTTTTTTTTTTTATTATTTGGCCAGTGTTACCGAAAGATGAATGCGCATACATCCGATTCTGTCGTGTTGCCGATGTAGCAGCCGGCGAGCAATGGCTACTATTGCCACGATTGTAGATATCGTTGTACGGCATGTTTCTGCCTGGTCGTCAGTGTTTGCAATGATGCTTATCTAAAAAAGATCTAGCCCAACATTTGGTTTTGATGCCGATAGTTAGATCACGTAAACAGATAAGTTCGTATCTAGTCAGCTTTGGAAACGTTCAGCGAATCGCGTATGATGTTAGTGTTCAGCGGCAATGGTTGCCTGACGTTCGGTTCCCAAAAATCGCAGATGAATCGAGTTATTAGAATGTACTCGCATAAATCTTTCTTGCTATTTTTCTATTTAGCCCATGTTGACTGTTCACAGAATGCAAGGTTGAAGATAGGGTCGTGCGTGTTTGCTGTGGCCAAGTCCGAGTACCCATCTGGCTGACTGCAATGACAAGCAAATGGCAAGTTAACTGATCGAGATGTTACTTACGAGTGCTGAAACGTTTCTTATGAAAATGCTGCCTTCCAGATGCAGGGCACATCAAATCGAAGCAATGGCCAAGGAACATGTATTACAGGACAAGTGAGGAACAGACAAGTGTAGGCCAAATATAGGCCTGAATGGAGAAAACCGAGCTAAACTCACACTACAATATATATGAATAATAATGTAAAGATTAGGCCAAATAGTACGCAAAGAGGTGATTAGGGCTTATTTACAGGGGAACATCGTCTTTGAAAAATCACTTATTGCATTTGAAGACAATGTATATGGAAATAATCACGTGACTGTTTGTTCCTTTTGTTAGAAGGTTCGCCGAGCCTTGGACCAACTTTCGCGCTTAAAATATCCAAAAAAAATCAAGTTATATAGGGCATAACTGTTTAGAAAAAGGTTATTACGAGAAGCAAATATGTCGGATCAAAAAATTAACAATTGATTAAATGGACGCTTTGGCATTAGGTAGATGTGTTAGGGTCGTTTGTTTTTGGTGACCTGCCATGTTAGGATCTTTGGTTTGGCCAGTTGTCAATACTGTAATTAGCCCCGAATGGCATGTCAGTGCTGGCAAAAGTGCTGGCATTTGCCCTTTAGACGATGTTGAGCTAATAGGAAGACTGTCTGCAAAATCAAAACATAGCTCAAAAGTACTTAACTTTCTCAATAGTCGTGTGAATGGGCAGACGCCTTTTTATACTGTGTATTATCTATTTTATCATTAAACAGTCCGATCCGAATATCGTGAAGCTTCGTAATAGAGGAAGTTTGTGTCTTAACCGCAGTGCATATATACGTATATGCCTTTCACTTGCTTGTTATTTTAAGCTCAATAATTATATCAAGGAGGCACGCTTTTTTGATTTGCTATCCACTATATCATTATTCCATTTCTAAAGTTAAAAAATAACAGTGTAATATGGTTTTGCTGAACTATGTAACCGTTTATTTTTGTAGCGGTAGCAGCCACATGGAAGAGTCTCCATATTTTAGGCCTTCAACCTTGAGAAGGTCACCACAATTATTATAAAAGTAACATCGTCGTCAGTTCAAGCAACTTCTTGTATTTTTATGCTCTTTTTTTCTTTTCTTTTCTTTTCTTTTTTTTTTTTTTACAAATGTACTAACTGTTTTTTACGGAATCGGAAAACAGATAAGATGAATGCGCTGATGGAAGTGAACAGAAAATAGTGGTATATTTTTCTACAATGCGTTTTTATGGATTTTATTACCTAGATTGCATTAAACTTTGATTGTCGACAAATAGCAAGAGCAAGAGAAAATGTTTCTGACAATTCTACCGGCCGCGTTTGTGAGTACCTGCTTCATTGCCAGCGACTTAATTTTAAAAATTAATTTTTTTTAGGTATTACCTGTTTATTTCGGTGGTTTATTGATTCGTGAAAGTCACGTTCTCATCGTGGCTATTTCAGGCTGTGCCATCCACTGCAAAACATGCGTAGCTACTAACGAAAAAGTTGCAAGTGGCAAATCTTAGATCTATCAACAAATGTTAGCCGCGTTGCGTGAGAGAGTGGAATCGAGCAGGCGCCATAGTATAAATCCTACCATCCGTGCCAAATATGTGAACCCGAAGTCGTCTGAAGAGGTGAAGCACATATAGTTAGCACCGCTTTTTGTTTATCTATTAAGGATCGTTATGATCGAGTCGATGCTTTCGTATAAAGACGGCCAAATATATAGTAGTGTTTATATCATGACTTGAAGGACTGTTCCACACAGCCAGCCTTGCAACTACTCCGCTGCATATATTACAACTGCGTCGCATGCTTATCAATCGGATTATTGAAGATAATTTTGCCATTACCAAATGGTAGCCGAAGAACACAGTTGTATACGATCGTTATTTTCGGGTTTTTTTTTGGTTCAACTACTGCAAGAACATAGCCATGCAGGTACATCTATAGGGAAAGTTTCGCCTAAACGATGAAAATTTGCTTACGCGAATAAGCTCTGAAAAAAAAGCGTCCGTTCATCTATGAGCAACGTTACCTTCCTTATGATTGCAATCGTGCCAGCTAAGCACTTACGCTATAGCCCTTAGAGCTGTCGTAAGATCTGGGGATTTGGGCCTTATATGGGCAATTCCAGTTCGAATCAAGGGCTCATACAAACTATACCAATCATTTCAGGAATAATCAAGCGACCCCAGACGTCGCTCCAGCCGAAGTCACAATCGAGCACCTCGTCATCCGCTTCGAGTAAATCGTCGATTACCACAAACAATGTGCTTACTGATACAAAGATGGTTTGCTACTACTCAAACTGGGCCATTTATCGACCCGCGCTGGCCAAATTCACACCTCAAAACATCAATCCGTTTCTCTGCTCACATCTGATCTATGCGTTTGCCGGTTTTAATAAGAAGTGGGAGATGAAACCTTTCGATCCGTACAACGATATTGAGCAAGGCAATTATAAGAAGTTCGTTGGCCTGAAACAGTATAATCCAGCATTAAAAACAATGGTTGCTGTCGGTGGCTGGAATGAGGGTTCTAAACGTTTTACAGAAATGGTAGAGAACGCCGAGAACCGTCAGGCATTCGTGCGGAGCGCTGTGAAATTTTGCCGCATTCATAGTTTTGATGGTCTTGACTTAGATTGGGAATATCCTACGTTCCGGGAGGGCGGCCGACCTGAAGATAAAGAAGGGTACGCACTTCTCATCAAGGAACTTCGTGAGGCTTTTGATGCCGAGAAGACAAATGGCAAGGATCGACTTCTCCTTTCTGTCGCTGTACCAGCCGGCAAGGATTACATTGATCAAGGTTTCGACGTGAAAACCATTTCAGATTATGCGGATTTTCTCAACATACTCACATATGATTACCACACCGCATTTGAAGCTGTCATTAACCATCACGCGCCCCTTCGTGCCCGAGACGGCCTTAAAGAGTGGGATGACGAGAATACGCTCAACATTGACTGGACCGTCACTTACTACCTGAAAAAAGGAGCACCCGCCAACAAGTTGATCCTGGGTATACCCACCTACGGCCGATCGTTCACACTTAGCAATGCAGATGAGACGGACCTCGATTCGCCAGCCAGTGGACCCGGACAACAGGGTGAAGCTACCCGCGAAAAGGGTTATCTTGCATATTACGAGGTATGTAAGACAGTTTCATTCGAAGATTAGGTCAATTGTATTTTCTGCTGGTTTTAGTGTTTGGCATATAAAATTTATATATTTCTTATAAGTCTTTCAAAACATGACACATGGACGAGCCGTTGGGTCTGCTTGTGTCAAACACTTGCCACGCTGTTAAATAGACGAAAGTATACGTATTCTAGATAGAAATGGAATTTGCATTACTCGTCAGGAAGTCGTTGCTTTTTTAATATCCTTAGATTTTTCAAATTTTTTATGAGTCGTCGCAAAATGATGTACGTTTCGTTGTTGTCAAACGTTTTCTTCCTTTTTACATAGATCTGCCAAGCCGTAAACGAAAACGGTTGGGAGCTAGCCCGACCCCACGAAGACATTATGGGGCCAGTCGCCTTCAAAGGAACCCAGTGGGTTAGCTTCGACGATGAGATCATGATCGCCAATAAGGTGAAGTACATCAAGAGCAAAGGTGTGTAACGAAAGACACAGGCAATTTGACACGGCTAAAAATTATCGATAATATAACGGTTCTTGCTTTTCTACGTTTATACATTATCGATGGAGTTATCATTCGATGCACAGTAATTGTCAAGCAGTACTAATAAAGAAACGCGGTAATAGCGTATCACTGATCCGCAAACTGACTGCTATACACGCACGCCTATCTGACCGTTTTCTTTCTTTGTTTGCCGTGGGTTCCACATGAGTGTATCGCTTTAGTATGCATTGATTCACTTATGCCTTTGGACATTCGCGTACGAGTTTTTCTTGTAGGTTTCGATTCAGTTTTTTAATGCTACGTTAACGATTTCCTCCTTCGAAGGGCTCGGTGGTGCTATGATTTGGACTTTGGATAATGACGATTTCCGTGGCTCATGTGGGGGCGGTGAGTCACCGCTGATCAGTGCGCTTCGAGAGTCTCTACTTGATGCTGAAGAATCATCGACCAGGCCACGTATCACCGATGCGAGTTCTAGCAAAAAGAAGGACTCGTTAAAAAGCGGACGAATCAAGACTACAACGACGACGCCAGCCCCTAAGGGTACTCAAAGAAGCAGGGCAAACCAGAGCGGGGCAGCTAAATCAAGTAGCACGCAATCGGCAAAGAGCACGAAACCCAAGGGTGAGAATGGCGTGTGCATTGTAATGTCTCACTGTTCGAAACTAGCTTCATCGTCGCTTAGAATCTAAGAATCCTAATCGGTGCCAACAAACAAGCTACATATACATAGCATATGTATGTGAGACTTGCTCTCTTTAATTAAAAAAAAACTAAATTAAAATTTGAAACGTGTTTACAGTATATATTTCGTTCGTTCTAAGTCTTTTTTTTGGAGATTGGCATTACCGGTATGTACCATTGAAACCATCTCCGTGGTAAATCATTACAAATTCGATGTTCCAAGCCTGGGTAACTCAGGTATGCTACCAATTTTTGTGTGTGTATACCTGTTCTTCTTGTCCTAAGCTACACATCTCACCCGAAAGGTTGTATTTGCTCTTAATAATACTGCTATAACAATTATAAACACCAACCATACTAAAAGTTCTACCTGTGACAGTCTTTAACGGATCCCGATGTAACGATCATACAATAACCCTGGGAAACTCTGCATGTGACGTTTGTTTCCATGCGAATAGTTTGTTGTTCCACGCTTGAGCTGTTCATTATACACCTGGTGACAGCTTGAAGAACCACTACCTTCGTCGCAGTATTACGCACCTTGTTCCGTTCACTTCTCCTTGCCTAACCTGCTACCCCTACCAAACTAGCCATTAGTTAACTAACTATAATAAAAATGGAAGCGTATGCTACTTTTGCATGAATCGCGTTTCGGTGCCGTTTAACTCAGCTCTTTTGTAGAATTTAGGGCCGTCATTTGGTTCTAAATTACTATACTTTTTCTGGTTGTCTGACGTCGCAACATTAGAAACGGGTCTTCTATTTACGACTCCCGAGCCGCCGACAACTCCGGACCCAGGCACTCCATTCGAGTGCGAAGATGAAGGTTTCTTCCCTAATGACAAGGACTGCCGGAAATACTATTGGTGTCTTGATTCTGGTCCAGCAGATCTAGGTATCGTAGCCCACACCTTTACCTGCCCGAGTAACCTTCATTTCAACTCAAAGACGGAATCTTGCGACTTCAAGGATAGAGTCAAATGTAAGGCCGATAAAGGTAAAAGCAAGGCCAAGAAGATCACTACAACATCGGCGCCAGCGCCTGAAGAGGAAGAAACAAGCACAGCCAGGCCGTCCAGCAAGAAATCCAAGCGGTAATACATTTATTTGTATAGTATCAGTATGCTTTATGGCCATTGACGTTGAGGCGATCCTATTCAGCTGTCTGTATCACTGGAGTTACCCTATCCAAAAGTTTTCCCAGCCAGAGGATAAAGAATAGCAGCATAATTTCCTTCGGCGTGAAGTAACTTATTATGAGTTGCCAGTCAAATCGATGAATCGGCTTCTAAATAATCAACTGACCAGTAAAGTAGTTGTCATTCGTCAGAGTAACGCAAAGCCAAATATAAAATTACGTTGAACATCGTGTAGCGTCTTGTTCAATAGGTGTGCTTGAAGATGAAGTTAAGACCAAACTAACCCGATTATAGGACACATATTCGGCACTCGCTTAAGGCAAGTTTTCTGACTTTTTTAAGCAGGATAATCTTGCCGAAATACTGACATAATATATGATGATGGATAATTAAGCAGCTATTTTCGTTACTGGCAAAGGGCACGACGACCTATATTGAAGACTTTAATTTATTTGAATCGTGTTCCTATCCTAATGCTACATAGGTAATCTGATAAGAAAACAAAATTATAGTACTCCTTGATTTCTGGTCTACTCGATACTCTGCTGATCCGAGTCTTCGTTTGTTCGATCGTCTTTAACGGTATTAACGCGTCTTATCTCCTTGCCCTTATTCTTGATAAAATAACAATCTAGGCCTTCGTCTCGCACCACACTACGTACAGCAACCTCAACATCAACAACAACATCAACCACAACGACCACAAGGCGGCCCAGCACCCGAAGGAAAACAGGTGGGCGAAAAAGGCCTGTCACAACAACGACGGCACTGCCTGAGGTTGAGGACGACGATTTCGAATACGTGGATCAAGAGCTTGACCCAACTGAGGAATCGGTTACCACGCGTCGTGTGAAATCTGGGAAACAAACAGAAAAAACCACCAATAATGATAGCATTGCGGAACTTGTACGATTGCTTAAAGATCATCTCAGAGGTAAACAGATCTGATGAGATAATGCAGCATTATTTTGTCGCTTTCATTCGTTATCGGGCACAACACGCGCTGATTTTGGATTAATAGTATACAACGGAGGTGTACATATAGATAGAATGATAACCTTTGTCCTCGGTAGGTTGATTCTTGTTCCATTGTGACAGAATAAACACTGTAGCATCAGTAACCATAATGCTGGATTATTGTTTGCTTTTGTCACATTATTGTCTGTAGCACCTGAAAGCAAAACCGACGAATCAACCCTGTCGAATCAGGGGAACCAAGTCCGCGGTCCCCCCGCTCAACTTGCTCCACAGACTCAGGCCTATACTGATCCACGAATTCAGCCTGCCGAACCCGGAACAAATCTACGTCGCCCTGTTCAGGTTCAATATCGAGAACCTGTACAGTTATTCCAAGAATATGCTAATCCTTCGCGTCAAACCAACAGTCGACTTGATTCTGGCCTGAACGTATACGTTGCTCCGGCGAGAGACGCGCGCCCTCTCCCTGAGGACGCGATCAGCCCGTTCAAGTTCAGTTACAGCGAACCACTCAACAGGCCGGCTCCACCTGATAACTATCGGGAACTCCGTACACAAAATGGTGAACCTGAGTTCAGGCAACCAGTCGCTCGCCCCGACGTTGACCAAAACGACCAGACTTCTGCGAAGGCGCGAAAGCCAAAGTTGGATAATTCACTAGCACGCGCTCCTTATAACCCGGACCGTTTCGACCTAGGCGACATTCCTGCTTTTGGCTTTTCCGAAGGCTCTTCTAGAGGACTTGAGGAAGCCCCGGCGCCTAAACCGGTTACAGCTGAAGCTTCTCTTCCCCCAAGTAAAAGTAGTGAGCCTGATTTCATATTCGATGGGGATATTCCAGATTTCTCATTTTCTGACGGACCGGGAGAAGCGAAACCGCAGTCTAAATCCAACTCCGGTGATTTGAGCCGGCTACCCAACTCACGGCCATTCCGCTACGATTCTCCTGGGACAACATCTACACAGTTTCGCCGTGTAACAACCGAGTTGCCTTTCGTCTACAACACGCCTCAACGGCAGTCCCGCCCCGCTCCAGCGGCGGTTGGACATTCCGACTTCGGCAAAAACGACGACTCAAGCCAGCTTCCTGGGCAAAACACTCAGTCGGCACTGCAGTTTGACTATCAACAACCTCAAAGGGACTCACGTCAGCCACAAACCACATTTACGTACAGTGACCCACCGCTAAGAGAACAGAGGCCTCAAACAAACCAATTTACTTACAATGAGACACCTCAACGTGAAAACCAACAGCAACGTCAGCGAGGTGCTGCGTTCACATACAACGATCCTCCACAACGCGAGACACGTTCTCAACAAACCAACGCCTTTACGTACAGCGATCCTCCACAGAGGTCGACAGATGCTCCGGCCGCATTCTCTTATAGCAACCCTCAACGAAATGCTGTTCCTCCGCCAGTGCAAGCCGCCTACCAAGACCCATCTAGTCGGCAGCAAAGTACTACAGACCAATTTGACAATTATCAGTCGCCTCAACGAAATTCCCAGCCTGTGCAGTCGTTCGCTTTCAATTATGAGGCTTCGCCGCAGCGGACGCGTCAGCAGAAGCAACAACAGCAGGCCTTAGCATTTAATTATGACGCTCCCCCTCAACGTGACCAGACATCTGCTCCAAATTCTCTCCAGCAGTACGACGCCGCGCAGCGATCGAAGACAAAGTTGACGCAGGGGTTTGCTTTAGACACGCTTGTCCCCGATCCACTGTCGACCCACGATGAAGGTCGCAACGTCGCGCGTCAAGGTAGGCTTAACCAACAGCATCTCACCACTAATCTCCCTGTGAGCCAGACACCAACGACTACGTCACAGCCTGCAACTACCCGGCCGCCAATTCCACCTCTGCCGTCGCCAGCCTCTATTCCGGCGGCAACATTCGATGATGACGAATACTACTACGACGATTACGAGGATGAGCCCACCCTGGCGACACCCCAGGCTCGACCAACAGTACCACCCCAACCGACAACGCGAGCTACCGTGCCACCTCCAGCGCGCCGGACGGTTCCCGTTAGTCAGACCTCTCCCAGAAGGGCGGTCGTGATCACAACCCCTCGCCCCTCTAGAAGACCGGTAATCGCCGTCGAGCCAGTACAAGATCCCTATGCGCCGCCGCTAATCGTCATCGATAAAGATACTATTGACTGCAACAAGCGAGGAGTTTTTATTCACCCTAACGATTGCACAAAGTTTGTCGTCTGCGCACCCGGTAAGAATGGCCTGAAAGGCTTTGTTCACAACTGCCCCGCTGAAACAATCTATGTAACTGCGCTCGGACGCTGTCTACGAGGTGACCGCAAAACATGCACCCGCAAATAATGTCCGCAAACATAACTAATCGAAATGACTCTTGCCTAGCCAGTATGAATGATATCACTGGTAACCATAATAATGATGTCACGCTATCATTCAATATAACATGAATTAGGGCCATTGCATAACAGGAAGCATAAATGCGAACTATGATGGATACAAGGCCACACGATCAGTGTGCCTAGAAAAGGACACTCAATAAGGAACATTCTTCGACATGACAGTAATTCATAAATCGATTTGTAATTATAGGTCACAAAATGTTTGTTTCAATCGGTAATACTCTTCATTTTTATCAAGGATCACGATGTTATCAATCAGCAGAGCGTTATTATTCAGACGGAGAAAAATATAAATCAAATAGATAGGACGAGATTTAGAGCGGAACGAGAGCAAAGGACTAGCAAGCATAGATTCTGCGCGTTGTGGTTAGTGCAAAGCCTAATAATGCCATATGTAAATAATGTATATAGGGGCAATTAGCAACAACGAAGAAGCGACAGGCAGTGATTCGAGAGTCTGTCGTTGCACTGTTCACTGCATTGCATCCTGTTCGTGTTGTGTTTCGTCCTTAATAGAAAAGAGAGGGGTAAGACGAGAGAGAAAATCACCCCCAAATCGAAACCAGGAAAGCAGAACTCTATAAGGGAATGTCTTACATTCACAAACGCTAGTGAAAATGATCCTGCCAATAAGAGACACAGATTGACTCTGTTATTCTACTAAGATTAAGATAACTTTAAAAAAAAAAAAACGTTAATTATAAGAGAACTTCTTCTGCAACGTTGCCGCACGAGTCAGTAACAACCGGTAGAAACGATGTAAGCGATGAGGATCGTCCTCATCATAGAAAGCTGTTTGATGTTGAGGGCCGAAGTTTTTGTTGTTATATTGTCAATCAGTTATTTATACTATATGATGTTTGCCATTTCATATGGTTTTCTTCATAAATAAAAGTCAAAGTAAAAAAAAGTTAGTTCTCTTTTTGTCTATATAATAATGACCAAAAGTCGCTATTTGAAGTCTTGCCGTTGATGCATATGTGTTTGCGTAGACCGATAGAATCATTGTTATATATAATACAGATTAGAAAGGCTACTCCATGGTGCTACTGGTATATACAGGTGGGTCTGAAATGGAAATGATGAAATCACGTAAAAAAGAGTGGTTTCTCATAATTTACTTAATCTTATAATTTACATAAATCAGTTTTACTCGTTGTGGGAACACAACCATACAGAGGGCGCGCATTACAAATTATAATGCAGCGGGTCAAAAAACATCCTTTCATAAATGTCATTTTAAATTGAACGGTGGTCTGAAAGATCATAACAGTGATTTGCAAAACACTCAATAGGCATAAATATACATTCGTTTATCTGCCCTCCTTAAAGTTTGGCATGACTTGTGATTAGTCTCTAAAAAGCTCTAACATAAGCGCTTATCCTGCAAAGGAATAAACCAACTTGGGACCGTTTTTGCTATTCGCCACAGCATAAGCTTTTCGTTCGCTGATTATGATCATATGATATATCGTAAGGGCCAAACGAGTACCCAACGGCAGCTTGCGATGCGAATTTGTCGTGGCTACCATACAATTTCAACGAATACAGCTCTTGGCGTGGCAAATACAAGGCCATGGCGACACCTGGCAGCAGAAACCGATAACGGAGGCGAGGACCGAACCGAAAACAGCCGGACAAGGGCGCAGACACTCTCCATCTGATAAAGGAGGAGTAAACGTCAGCTGCTGCTGCCGTAAATAGCACCAACGCTGCTGTGACAACTGGAGCTCACTGGACAAAGAGGCTCATTCAACGTATCAGGAATTGGTTAGAAGGAAGGCACGGTAATCACACAGGTAATCAGCAGACACGGTTATTTCCAAAAGTGCTTGTGAAAGATCGGCAACGCAAACTTGTCAAAATGTTTGCTGTACAACCTTGCTGAGAACAACACAGCCACACACATCATACTGGGGTGCCGACATTTCCGAGAGATGGGGAACAGTTTCTAGCAACGCCTCCAGAGTAAAGAGGTAACTGCTGACGACATTGTACCCCTGATGTCGGGAGGCACTGAAGAATGAGGCGTTGTGTCAAACTTCATGGGAGTTGCGATCAGAGTTAAGAAGCGTCAAACGCGGACAAGAGAAACAGCTGCAACAAGGATAAGATCGACATTTTGAGAAGGAGAGACGCCAATTCAGGTCCACGGCTATATCAAGCAGCGGCTTCAAAAGCATTCAGGGCTGTGGTGGCGGGCCACTGTGACGGGTACCGTCGGAGAAGGATGGATGCCTTCAAGCAAGGTGAAAGCAGTCCCGGGGTTCCTTTAACATAGTGCTTGAGGCATACACGCTTTTAGAGATGGAAGATACTCCACATCTACCAGTTTTCGGATGCACATTAACGTTTTCGCGACCAGCATCATTAAAGGGAAAAAAAGTTATATGGGCCGATTCAACACAGGTCATACTGTTCTTCTATTTCGAAGTCGAGATGCATTATACAATTTTAGTTTGATTATGATGCATTGCCAGTGTATCGCTTAACATACCGCATAACATAAGATGTGTTCTTCGTATATATGGTGTTTCGTTCGTTTACTGGGTACCATCGAAAAAGGAGGATACCTAAAATAAAAGGGATACTATAAAGCTAGAACCAATAATTGACAATGAATTTTCCTCACACATAATATAAGCTAGGAACCTCAACAGAATGCTAAGCTTTCTTTTAAAAATTCACAGTTTTTTTTTAATATATTCTCACACTAAAACATGCTAGAACGCAAACGACTATACGAATTCGGTTGTAAAAGTAACATGTAGATATATTTTATGTATTTCGTGGGATGTAATGCCAAAGAGGAAATTTATTGGTAGGTGAAACACTCGTGTGCAGGTAATTATTTTCGTTGCCTATAATAAGCATGTTAACTTCGAAAAAGACCTTCCGTTAGCCCAGACCGTTCTTACAAAAAAAAAACTTCGTACTTTCATTTAGAATTGTAGACCATATTTACATGTAGAAAGCATACACATTATATTTTGATATCTTTACTACAGCCTAATCAAATTACTCAGTCAGTAGCCTGTAATGAGCATGGCGTTAAATGTTTAAATATATTTAGTCATCTGTTTATAGCAATTGAATTCTTAACGACCAGTCGGATATCAGACCAGTCCTAACTTCGTTCTTAATGTTCTTTCAATAATTTTGCTAGATCCTATTAGGGGTAAGCCCTGGTGTTCTTTTTGAAGACGACTGAGGGCAAATACGGTATACAGGCCAAACTTGTCTGGTATCGTAGGACACTCACCCACTAAATCCTCACATTCTCGAGCCCTGGTTCAGAACTTAGTTTAAAATTACTTCGAAACCAAAGTTTAAAAGTATTGGTGTTCACCGGAAAGTTACATTACTTAAACCTGAATTACTTAGAAATTCATAAATATCGCCAATTCGGTCCTATATTGCATTCTATTTGCATCACTAAACCTCATAACAATTTTCGTCTGAACGTCACGAAAACCCAACAAGTTGGAGAACTTTTTAACTAATAATACCCTGTAGTTTAATATCATAAGTGTCAACGGCGCAGCTTCTGATCTATGGTAAATTCAGCATCAGCTCTCCATGTAGCCGCCCACAGGGAGCTCATTGGTAAATTCTATTTACCTTTTCTGCTTGTCCCATGCCCTTTCGGCTTTGTTTTAGCGGTTGCGTTGTAATTGCGTCATAGTAACAAGCCATAAATAGCGATTTCTGCTTCTTCTAGTTATTTAGCGAATTTCTTTCTGCTGATTTTGTTCCACTTGGCTGTTGCATTTCTCCTTTACCAACTGGGTGATATTTACGCCTTGTCGTTTGGTATTTTAGTAGACGTTTGTTGCCATCATCATCATTCTGGGAACGAGGAGTTTTGTGCTATCTGAACGTGTTCGCCCTCTTTCTGCCGCCACTGATTCGCGGGTCGCATCCGAGGAATCGCTTGAAATTTTTCCTCTCTGGTCTTCATCCTTTTATGTCTCGATGTCCTCCTTTACACTATTTGTCCACGACCATTTTCAAAGGAATGCTGTCCTACCCTTCTCTTCGTGTGTCGCTTTACCGTTTCTATTCGTGTCGTACCTCCTATTCGTGTTGCCGCCGCTGGTCACGCTACAGCTACTTCAGTTATTATTTTGTCGCTGACATTTGCCCTGGGGCCGGGTAGGCAGGGACGTCTGGTGGTGTCCAGCAGTCGCTCAGTCAATTCTAGGCAGAATTGACTGAGCGACTGCTGCGAATGGCGAAGTAGAGATCAAGTTGTGGCTTGCTCATACTAAGGCCGCCTCTGCTGTAGATGCCCTAGGAGGCAAGAAAGGCTCAGTCAGTAGCAGTGGTGATTCGAAAACGCTAGAATTCTTGCAGAACTGTTGATGTATATACGCGTTGATATTTCTGGGCCTGCCGAATAACAAGAGGGCCAGTATGACCCACCCTTACTGTTAGTGGGCAAATTGTTGTTGGGCCGGTTTTTGTAAATGTACGTGTCAACTTTGTCCCGAACACGACTACCCGTATAGCGGTTGTAGTGGTTGGGTGTCATCCGGCAAGCTCATTATTGTCTGCTTCAAGCTGCTGTTCATGCCAAATCTGCGAATCCGCAAATAACAACAGCAACAATAACAACATTTCCAACGATTACGACGACAACAGAGTGGAAAACAGCAATGAAGATGAGAGACAGATGGACAGCGGCCTAGATTAGGACGAACCGGCGGCAGAGTTTTTCTGTAGCCTTCTCGTGTAGCCTTCCCAGCACTCTGTACATTCCCTGTCACGAGTCTAAGGCCACATTCCTTTGCCGCGTGCCTACTAGTTGTATCTGCTACGCATTTGGCAACTGCGACCCCTGTCTCATGGCAGCGGCAACAAATCCAGTGGAATGGGCAATGGCTCCTATATTCTACATCTCTATTTCGGAAGCAGCATTCAGCAGAACTATCAGTGACAAGCTCATTGCGCGTTGGCTCTCCTTTTCCAGCAGCGTGGCATACGAATATAGACATAGCACGGCTTCAGCCTAAGGAAAAGCAGGGTGGAGTGTCGTGCGGGTGTCACATTGAGGCAAAATATTTTCTTCTATGGCCCACAGTAATGTATTAAATACCCACTGGCATGCACTCTTGCTCGAGAGGCAACAGTGCTCGGCACTGGTTTTACAAAAAGAAGATTGCAGATGTCGAAGGCGTCCAGTATCTCAAATACCGGTAAGCCACACTCTTCGATGGCATGCCTACAAGCTATGCCAAGCGCGCCTAGAGACCGATAAACACGCACGTGAAACAGACAACCAAATAGGCGTGCATAGGGAAAATGATCCGCCTATCAAACTTACAGTTAACGCACGCCAGCGCGAAAAGAGATACACTACTTGATAAGGAAAGGCATCTGAAAATGGAGGGATGGGGTGGGGGCGAGTTGGCCCTCGTGGCCGGAAGCCTGACAGGGACGACTGTTAGCCCTTAGGGATCGGCCGTAACATCTTTTAACGACGCGACCAATGGTAGTCGAAGGAACCCTATGTTGCATTTAACGGCGAAAGTTAGGTAGCCACCCATTCGTCCAACTAATGTTCTTCCACTCTTTCGTCCTCAGCTAGGATTCGCATAGTCATGCCACTTCACAGACATGCTCCTATCAACGGTTTTTGCCATCGAAAACACCAAGGCGACTGAAGCTAGGCGTTCTTGCTCAGCCGACTACGGTAACGGACTAGTTCGTTGGTCTTTTGCCTTTTTCAGCATACCTAACCTCTGGGTTTCTGAGTAGCACTGCCAGCTAACTGCTCGGAAATCCCTGAGCGAAGACAACGACGAGTGTGAAAACAGAGCGTGAGAAAGCAGAAATGCTAGAAAGGAAAGTGGTAGCTGTCCTTGCTATTGCCGGGAGATTTGGTACTGTTAACTGTT